GCTTGAATATTACACTTTCTCAGAAAATATCTGCACGAATATTCATCAAACTTTTTGCTCAAGGTCTTTTTTGTTTATTTTTCAGTTAAAATTCAGACAGATTATTAGTATGGACTTAGAGTAGACCTAATTCGGGTAACTGGCAGGACGTGAAGAGAAAGAGAATAAATAGAGGGTTGGCGTGCTTTCTAGCGGGTTTTAGGGTATTTGTTCATCCAAATTCTATCTTAGGCCTTATCCTTTTTCATTTTTAAACCTCATCCAGTGGCCCTTAATGACACACATTAAATTGTATTGATATGTGTTTTACTCTTTTTATGTTATCTTTTTGAAGCGAAAGTTTCATCTGAATAACAAATATTTGATAATCAATATTAACATCTGATCGAAACTAGATACCTACATACCTAACACAATTAGAACTTAACCAAGATTAATATAATATATGCTATATTATAAGTGATATTGATATGTGTTTTATTCTTTTTATGTTATCTTTTTGAAGCGAAAGTTTCATTTGATTAATCAAGAGATAAATGGACTCTCTTGATTTTTACCGTTTCCTAGTATTTACTTAAAACATAAACGAATCACCAATCTGTCTGTTTGTAGTTATGCACAAAGCTACACAATGGGCTATCTGTGCTCTGCCCACCACGGGTACCAAAACCCGGTTTCTAGCGTTATAAGACCGCAGACGTACCGCTGTGCCACTGGGGGGTCCAATCTATCAAGTTTCAGAATTTAATATAAAGTCCTTTATTTATCACAAAAATGCTTCATATATTTGAACGGACTAGCTGGTAAAGGAATTGTGTGATTTCTTTCAAGAGAAAAATCCAAGAATAACGTAAAGGACTAATCTAATCGTTACTTCCTCTGCAGTGGACTAGTTACGCCGAATCCACGGCTCATCAGCACTAATTGGAAGAACAAACCAAAGAAGTGCAGTTGGCCTCTTATAGTGATGTAATTCAAATAATTTGCAGAGGTTTGATACATTATCCTTTACTCATCTCTAACAATCTAAAATGATTTAGGTATTTGAATAATATTGAATACCTTTTCGCAATTAATTATTCATAATTGTTTAATAAACTAGATGGTAAATTAATTGCGAATTTTTATTTTCTCTACTATAATGTGCAACTTCAGTCAAGAAAAGAAGTTATCCATGTATGGCGTCTACTGTCCTTTTTCGATATGCTTTCCCAAGCTGTATTGATATACCTTGAACTCCACGAAACTAGTCTACTGCAGAGGAATTAACGAAACAAAGAATAAATTAGGCTTTAGATCATTCATTCATTCTGTCTTTTCTTCATTGAAGTTTCATATTTTAGTGGGAAAAAGAAAAGTTCACAATTAATGTATCAAGTCCACCTTGATAGTTTTACCTTAATGTGATTCGCAGTCAGTTAGAAATGAAACTTCAATGAACGATAAACACGAGAAAATGTAAAACTCACGAATTAGTTTTTCAAAAATAACCTGAAAATTAGAAAACAACAAATAGGTTTTAGTGAAACCTAGTATGATTTTTTATGTTACTAATTTGTTGTCTTAAAATATTTTATTGCTTTAACTTTGATTTAATTCGTATGATGCGGTGGCTAGAAAAAATAATGGAGAAATACCATTAATGACGCAAATTGTATAAACAAATAAAAGCAACTAGTTGTGTATTAGAATACTTGTTAATTTTCCTTACATAATTTTCGCTTTGGGAAAATGGCACATCATTCATTTTTCCATCTAATTCAATTTGTTTTACTATTTATTTATTACAATTTTCGTTCTTCTTCTGTTATAAATTATTCAATATACCTGTACATTTTATGTTTATTTTTACTTTCATTATCTTTCACATCCATACCTTTCCTTTCTCATCAATCTGTATATATTCTTTTTTTCTTAGTTTTTGCATCTCTTCACACTCCCGTATATGAACTATTGTTTCTTCTTTTTTCTTACACCTCCTATATATCTGATTTTCTAGAATCCTCCAATGTTTTCAGTCTTTTTTAGGTATTTGAGCATCATAATCTGGTCCATGATTTAATTTGTTTATCTCTCTAATGTCTTCTTTTATTTTTCATATGTGCAATAAACAGACTGTTCTACCACACTCCAATTATCCTAGATATTTTGCTCCATCTTTATCCTCGTTATTATTATTTCTTCTACCTTTTTCTTTATGGCTCTTATATCTTCTTGTTATTTAATCATTTTTATTGCTTCTGTATATTCAACATCTTCCAATACTCTTCACATCCACCATTTATTCTTTCTACCGTTTTCAATTCTCCTCATTACTCTATTGAATATTTCAGCCATCTTTTTTTCCTTCATTTTTAATATTTCTGGAATATATCCCAAACTATCTTGATACTTTTTACTTCCCTTTCCAATCTTCCTGTTTCTAATTGTCATACGAAATGTACATTTCTGTCTATTTCTAGTATACATTTTATGCATCTCCTCTAGCTTATCTTCTTTATTCCATAACCATATTTCTAACCTATACATTATCACTGATCCAACTAACATACTAAAGAGTTGAATTTGTTGCTTAGTATCATTCCAGTTATCTTTGTTATACTGTACGCTACAGTTAAAGCTCTCTATGCCTTTGCACATTGTTGTCTTTTCTGCTTCTTTTGTGT